CTGGTTAAGGCCCCTGGCAAGAGCTCATTCACGATGTTTGTGGACCTAGGGATCTACCAGCCAGGAGGCAGTGGGGACACGATCCCCATCACAGGTGAGGACAGGAGTGCCACCATGACCTCTGGAGAGGGCACAGTGGGCAGTAAAGGGCCTCCCCTGTGGCCTGAGCATCTGTCCTGGCACAGAGGCAGCAGGCGCTTCTGAGACCCCTTTGGCCCAAGGGAAGAAGTGCTGGGAGTAGCCCAGGGACGTGAGTGACAGCACGAGGATGCAAGCCAGTCTTCTGGGTCTATTTCAGCTCTTCTTTGCACCCCCCTTCTCCATCCAGCCTTTCCCCTTCCTTCTGAGTACTCTGAGGAGCCAAATGTGGGTGGTGTGAAAAGAGGTGATTGAGAGGGCAATAGCCCACACCCCTCTTCTCTTCCTGCAGCCCTCGTGGGCGGAGAGGGTAGTCGGCTTGATCAGCTACAGTATGACGTGAGGAAAGGCTCCGTGGTCAACGTGAACCCCACCAACACCCGGGCCCACAGTGAAACCCCCGAGATCCGGAAATACAAGAAGAGATTCAACTCTGAGATCCTCTGTGCGGCCCTTTGGGGTAAGCCCGGGCTGGGAAGGAAAGGTGGATCTGTGGTGTTCCTGTGCTCCAGGTCAGGTGAGGGCCTGGCTTTGGCTCTGATCTGCCCAAGGGCTGCTCTTGTAGGGGTCAACCTGCTGGTGGGCACGGAGAATGGGCTAATGTTACTGGACCGAAGTGGACAGGGCAAGGTGTACGGACTCATTGGACGACGACGCTTCCAGCAAATGGATGTGCTGGAAGGACTCAACTTGCTCATCACCATCTCAGGTGTGGGGATGGGGGACACAGCGGGGAGGGGAAGGGGAACAGGAAGAAAGGCAGAGCTGGGAAGAGGAGGCTCAGCTCCTCAGCTCTCTGTGCCCATCTTCAGCCTGGGAGGAGGGCAACCTGTGTCCAGGATCCGGAAGGTGGGGCCAGGTTTTCTCACTCCTTGTGGTGCAAAGATAAAGGATGGAGGGGAGGCAGAAGCTGTAGCCCAATGAGAAAGCAAGTGTGTGTGTATGTGCGCGTGTGTGTCGCCCAGGGAAACGGAACAAACTGCGGGTGTATTACCTGTCCTGGCTCCGGAACAAGATTCTGCACAATGACCCAGAAGTGGAAAAGAAGCAGGGCTGGACCACTGTGGGGGACATGGAGGGCTGTGGGCACTACCGTGTTGGTAAGGAGGTCCCAGCAGGGTTGCCAGAGAACTCTGAGAGAAACAGGGGTGGGGGATTTGGGCCTAACAGCTAACAAAAGCTTTAAATGAGAGACTTGGGGCCAGTGTTTGAGGTTGTGGTGACAGGCCGATGGGAGGTGACTGGCAGCCCAAGAAGGAAGGTGGCTGCAGCCCTCCTCTCTTCTGCTCCCAGTGAAATACGAACGCATTAAGTTTTTGGTCATTGCCCTGAAGAACTCCGTGGAGGTGTATGCCTGGGCCCCTAAACCCTACCACAAATTCATGGCCTTCAAGGTAATCCCCAGCCTCAGCCCCCTCACACTGTCTCAAGGCCTGGCTCTGCCACCTGTGTCTCCTGAGCCCTCCTCTCCCCCACAGTCCTTCGCGGACCTCCCTCACCGCCCTCTGCTGGTCGACCTGACCGTGGAGGAGGGACAGCGGCTCAAGGTCATCTATGGCTCCAGCGCTGGCTTCCATGCCGTGGATGTCGACTCGGGGAACAGCTATGACATCTACATCCCTGTGCATGTAAGCCTGGCGGGGCTGCAGGCAGAGTAGGGCCGCCAGTCGGTCCCAGAAGCAAAACTCCAACCCCCTTCCCCCCAGATCCAGAGCCAGATCACTCCCCATGCCATCATCTTCCTCCCCAACACCGACGGCATGGAGATGCTGCTGTGCTATGAGGACGAGGGCGTCTACGTCAACACGTACGGGCGGATCATTAAGGATGTGGTGCTGCAGTGGGGAGAAATGCCCACCTCTGTGGGTGAGTGAGGTGCCCACCCACAAGCCCCCAGTCCCGAGCTAGCCCAGAAATGGAGTAGGCTGCAGCTGACTCACTGCCCCTCAACTCCTCTCCCCTCCAGCCTACATCTGCTCCAACCAGATAATGGGCTGGGGCGAGAAAGCCATTGAGATCCGCTCCGTGGAGACGGGCCACCTGGACGGGGTCTTCATGCACAAACGAGCCCAGAGGCTCAAGTTCCTGTGTGAGCGGAACGACAAGGTGGGAGGCCCTTTCCTCCCTCTGCCAGTGCCTGGTCCCACACTGGGCTGTGTCCCATGACCTGGGCGCCACCCCCCCAGCAGGGTTGGGGGAGTGCGGTTATGGAGTCTTCCTGAAAGGGGGCCCCTGGGGAGCACAGCATGTAGTCCCTCACCCTGATTTAGAAGAACTCTCCAGGCTCCCTCATCCCTGGGGTTCGGCCAGCTACCCTCTTCCCCAAGCACTTCTGCCTTCTGGAGAGGATAAGGGCCACTCTTAGACTATGCAGTTTTTCTGTCTTTCTCCCTCTCCCCTACTCAGAGTTAATTGAGACCACCCTGTCCCCCGTCCCTTGGTGACTTTTTCTCCTGCCCCACCCAGGTGTTTTTTGCCTCAGTCCGCTCCGGGGGCAGCAGCCAAGTTTACTTCATGACTCTGAACCGTAACTGCATCATGAACTGGTGACAAGGCCCTGGGCTGGGGCTGTCCCACATGGACCCAGCTCTCCCTCGAAGCCAGACTTCCCAGGCCGCCCTTCTTTCCCTTCCCTGGGCTTTTGCTTTTACTGGTTTGATTCACTGGAGCCTGCTGGGAACGTGACCTCTGACCCTGATGCTTTTGTGATCACGTGACCATCCTCTTCCCCAACATGTTCTCTCCCCAAAACTGTGCCTGTCCCAACTTCTGGGGAGAGGCACAGCTTCCCCTTACCAGGAATTGAGTGGGCCTAGCCCCACCCCCCCTTTTCTCCACTTAAGAGGAGAGTGTTTGGGGCTTGGACCCCATACCCCACTGCTGCTGACTGGGCAGGGCCCTGGGCCCCTTTATTTGCACGTCAGGGGAGCCGGCTCCCCCCTTGAATGTACCAGACCCTGGGGGGGGTCACTGGGCCCTAGGTTTTAGGGGGGTCACCAGCCATTCCAGGGGCAGGGACCATTTCCTCATTTTCTGAAAGCACTTTAATGATTCCCCTCCCCCAAACCCCAGGGAATGGAGGGGGGACCCCCGCCAGCCAAAACATTTCCCCCTTTCCACCCTCCCATCTCTTCTAACCTTTGCCCTCACTGGTGGAGGGAGGGAGCAGGGAGCTCTCACCCTCCGCACTCCCTTGCTTGCATCTGTATATAGTGTGAGCAGCAAGTAGCCCTGTCCCCTCCCTGCCCCCTCCCTCCTCAATGTAGTGGCCTTGGATATCCCGTTTGTTAATAAAGACAATTCAACCAGCTCCCACCATTTCAGGCCCATTTGATTCTGTCTTCTCTCATTCTCAGATACCAGCCAGGGTGAGCCAGCAGAGGGCAGAGAGAGGGGGCAGGTGAGGTGGTATCTGCAAGAGAGTCATAGGAGTGCGGGGTGGGCAGGGCTGGGTCAGGAAAACCTAGAGGAAATGACAGGACCAGGGCATCCTCAGCCTTAAACTTGGGGGACTGTGCTGAGGGCATCTGGTCCCTGCCCATTCCAGCACTGCCAAGCCAGAAGGGGGCCTGACCTCTTCACTCCAACCTCCCTGCACGCAAGTCCTGCAAAAGGATCTCTTCTGGTTCACTGTCGATAAAAGTAGAAGGTCACAGGGCTAGAGGGTCACCTAGGGCTGGGGCCTGAAAAAACTGGGTGGTCTGGAAGGCTGAATCACTGGGAGTTCTTGCTTACTGGAAGACTGGCACCCAACAGCCTACCTGAACCGTCTGCACCCTCCTACTGACCCCTGCACGGTGGCCAGACCTACATACACGCACACACAGAAATCCTCTTGGGAAATTTACAAATTAGAGATGATTACCTGCAGTGGGAAAGCATCATAATACTGCTGTAGCAGCAACTTGTTTTTCAAAATCTATTTCCTCCTGGAGATGGGTGGGAAAGTTGAAGTCAGTGGAGCCACAGGCTCAGGGCTACATACATGGCGGGAAGGGCAGTTGGGGCACTTGGTTGAAGTAGCCTCCGAGGAAGATGAGGCTGGAGCCCACGCTGAAGAGCACCAGAGCCGCCCAGAAGCAGAGGTTGTCAAGGGCCTTCCCCATGCGCACCCAGTCGGACACCTCCTGAGTAAGGGTGGGCAGAAACTTGAGTCTGTAAAGGCTGCAGAGTGCAGCAGAGAGTGGGGAACCTTTACAGCGCCCCACTCCGCCTCGGAATCCTGCCCCACCTCGCCGGTGGCCTCCTGGTCTCGCGTGCTTTCGGCCACGAAGTTCACGGCATCCACACAGCAGCGGATCTCCGGGGCCGCGGCGCCCAGGCTCTGGCAGAGGGTAGCTGGGGAGGGCAACACCGAGGTGGGATATTAGGTTCCTCGCCCGCTGCCGGCGCCCCCACTGGCTCGCCCGGGCCACCCAGCTCACCCGTCCAGGTCCCGTGCCGGTGCCGCTGCCCCTCAAACACGAGCTCGCTCCGCGGCTTTTTCAGTATCAGCTCCTCCGCGCGCAGCAAGATGCCCACCGACGACGCCCGCCTAGGGGGCGAGGCGGCCCGGGGGCCTCGGGGGGCACGCCCGAGCCCAGGAGGCGTGGCAGCAGCTCCAATAAAACCTGGGGGCGGGGCGCGGCCGGGCGGGGATTAGCTCGAAGCCCCGCCTGCCCCCCACAGCCTGCCCCCCCCCCCCGGCTGCTTACGTGGCGCAGCCGCCGGGACATGGCGTGGGTGGTGGGCGTCCGCAGAGACACGTTGAGCACGATGACGCAATTCATGACAATGAGCGTGGCAACCACCATGACGAAAATGAGGAACCTAGGGAGCCCGGAGTGCGTGACGTCACAGCCTCCCCTCTTCCCCGAGCCACAGAGGGGGCCACTGGCCCTCTGACCTCACAAACACACCTCTCCGCGAGGGATGGAGTTACTCCCCTCAGCTGCTCCTCCCCTGCTGGGCCAGGCGGGCGCCCCCGCCCTTCTCCCCCTCCTACCCGCCACGGCAGCCATGAAAGGGAACCCCAGCTCCCTGGAAACCCTGCTATGGGTCTACCACTTCCACAGCTCCACCGAGGTGAGGCTACGCCCAAGGCCCCGCCCAAGGATGGCACCTCGAGACCCTCTGGGAAGGTCCCCAGCCCTTCCCCACCACCTCTGCCTGTGACCCGCGGGCTCTCTTGCCCTGTTCCTTCCCCAGGTGGCCCTCCAGCCCCCGCTTCTGTCCTCCCTGGAGCTCGCTGCGGCCGCAGCCCATGAATATCTGGAGCAGAGTTTCCGAAAGCGCAGGTCCCCGGAGCTGCCAGAGCCCCAAGAGCCGAAGAAGCCCCCCACCCCGAAGCCCACGCTGGGGCTGGTGCTGAGGGAAGCGGTGGCCAGCGCCATGAACTTCGGCGCCACCTTGTTAGAGGTGGGACGCCGCAGGCTGCGGGGGGCCGGGAGGGAGGGTCGGGCGGCGGGAGCGGGGACCTCGGCAGCCGCACTGACTCCTGCACCGCCACTGCAGATCTCAGCCCTGTGGCTGCAGCAGGAGGTGCGGCGACTAGACGGCGGCGACGAGAGCGCGGGCGCGGGCCCAGACGCCGGGAACCCGGGCGGGGCGCTGGCCCGGGCGGCCCAGGCCGCGGGGCAGGCGGCGCGGCAGGCGGGAGCCGCGGCGGGCGCGGGCGCCCGGCTCCTCCTCCAGGGGGCGTGGCTGTGCCTGAGCGGGCGGGGTCTGCAGGGGTCCGCCTCGCTCCTGCAGCAGTGGCGACGCCACCTGGGCCTCGCGCCCCCGGGGAGCCGGGGAGTGCAGAGGGGGGCAGGAGCGGGGGCCCGGAGGCGGCGGCCCGGGGCGGCGCTGAGCTGGCCCGGCCCCAACAGGCGCACCCGGGGGACCCCCCGGCGGCGCGCGGCAGCAATGAGGAGGACGGGGGCCCGGGGCACCCGCCGCCGCCCTAACGCCACTCCGCCCGCAAATAAAGCCCAGGAGGGGACGAGACAGCCAAGGTTGCTCCCGGAGTCGCCGGTTTGGGGCCGCCCCCCCCGCCGCGCCCCCTGCCCCGCCCCCACGAGCGTCTGGCCCCGCCCCCTCCTTGGCCACGCCCTTGTGGGCGTGGCGAGGGAGGGCCTCACCTGCCCAGCAGGGGCACGCTGAGAGACGTCTCTGGGATTTTCTGGGCAATTAGAAACAGGAAGACGGTCTGGGCGAGCAGGACGTTGATGGAGACGGTGCATTTCTGGCCGCCGGCTGCGGGGAGCGCCCCGTGAGAGCCGGCCCCGCCCCTCGGGAAGGAGCCCCCGTTCGGGCGGGCGCAGCCCCTCACCCTGCGCCGGCAGGAAGTAGGCGAGCAGCACCAGGCCGGAGATGAGCACGCAGGGCACGATGATGTTGATGATGTAGAAGAGCGGCTTCCGGCGGATGATGAGCGTGTAGATGACGTCAGTGTCCCCAGGACCGTCGGGGGCGCCACCGTCGCGGCGGCGGATGACTCCTGGGCAGTAGTCGATGGCCCACTCGCCGTTCTCTGCAAAATGAGGCGTGGGCACCTGCTTCCCAAGGTGGGGCCCCTGGCGGGGAGAGGACGCCGCGGACCGGATGAGGGCGGGCGGGACCGGTGGTCTGAGCCGCTTGCACCCTGGGGCGTGGGCACGAGGGCAGGGCCCGCTGGAGGGGTGTTCCGTGAGGTGCTGCGTGTGAGTGAGGGAGCAGGACCGAAATGACAGTCGAGAATGAGCGGGAAAGGGGCAGGTTACAGTACCCCTGCCAGAGCCGAGCCCCAGTAACGCTGGTCTGGGACAACCCCACTCTGCAAGGCCTCTCTCTGGACCTCGTCTGGAAGTGGGATTTTCGGGGCAGGAGGGAGCCTCACCAGTATAGGCCTCAGTGTCGATATCGAGCTTGCTGATGGTCTCGCCGTCATCGTCCACAGCAAAGATGAACTCCACCTCTTCGGCATTGTACGTCTGAGAGCTGCAGAGCCAGGGCCCGGGGCCGCAGAAGCTCGGACCCAGGCCTGCCTTAAGCTCAGATGGGAAGCTTGGCTCGGGGGTTATTAAGCCCCACCCCATTATCCAAGCCCCGCCCCTTCTCCCACTCCCCCCAGGTCTAACCAGCCCCTGTCGCCCCACATCACTCCAACAGCGCAATGCCCCATCTCGGGTTAGATTTCCCCCCTCCACTCCATCTGGCCCCATTCCCTGCCCCCACAATCCACCATCTTCCCGGCCTCTGGGTAACTTCCCACCGGAAAACGAGCGAGCAGTTCTGCCAGTCGAAGGGGAAGTAGGTGACCTCTATGGCGCAGGTGCTGCGGTAGATGGCCGGCGGCAGCCAGCTCACGTAGCCACCCTGGTAGACCAGCACGTTGGCGTCGTAGGCCACGCCGAACTGACCGTCAATACTGTGGGCTCCGGGAAGTCGAATTTTTGCACAGGTCTGTGGCCACTTGGCCCTCCAAGCAACAACCTGCCCCAACCACAACCAGCCCAGCCTCTCCCCCCCCACCTCAACTTCCCTCCAGCCTGGCATTCTCCCAGTCCTCACTTATTTTCCAGCACAATCTCCGGTAGCCATACGAGTTCTGCAGGGACCCGCAGCGTTTCTATGCCCCCAAAGTCGTCCTTGCTGTAGTTGAGTCGGTAATCCTGCCAATCCTAACGGGTAGGGCACGGAAGGACATGTGCCCCACAGCTCCCACCAGAGGAATTTGAGAGAAAGGAGTCCCTTGGGCAAGACAGCACAGTGTTCCCCAGTTTTGACTTACGATTCCAATCCAGACGCTGGTGGTCAGGGTCTCCTCTTTCTCGTTCTGCCGGTGGGAGGTTCAGGACAGAGACGTGGGGATTTCAGCGCTAGAAGTGAGCTTTAGGGCTGCAGCGGTTGGGGCCAAAGCGGGGTTTTAGGTTTAGAGATGGCACTTGGGATGGAGAAGGGCAGTGGTCCCTTACCAGTGAGATGAGGTTGGTCAGGGTAACCTTGAGGGTGATGACCACAGTGTCTTCAGGTCCCCTCACTGGCCGGGATCCTGGGTCATAGTTGTCAAAGAGATGGTGATAAAGACGTAGCTCCTCGTTCTTCCCCACACCTCCACCTGGGGCGGGGGTCAAGCAATGGGGTCAGTGGAGATGAAGAGGTTAGGGGGTGCCTTGCTGCATCCTCTGGGTCTGTGCGGGGCTCTGCTTCTCTGTCTCTGAGGCTGTGGGTGGTTCTGTGTCTGTCTGTCTGTCTGTCTCCTGAACCAGAGTTCTGGGGACCAAATGTCCCATCTCAGTCTACATCTTGGTGTCTGTCCTGTCTTGTCTTTGACTTGGTACCTCTATACGTGTGTCCAACCACCCCCCCCCCCGACCCTTGTCCATACCGAGGACCTGCAAGAGGAGCAGGGCGCCGAGTACAGCCCCTGCCATCGCACTGTCTGGCGTCAGGGTTATTCTGAGCGGTTGCAGGATAGGAGAGGGCAGGCCAGGGTGTGTGGGTGAGGGGGAGGAGGGTGTTAGTTCCGGGCTGAGTGAGGGGACTGTCACCTAATCCTCTGCCCACCCCTACTGCAGCCAGGGACATCTTGGCTGCTTCCAGAGGCAGCTGCCCCATCCTCTGTTTCCTGTCCCCGCCCCATCCCAGCATCCTTTGCCTGGTCTTCAGCCAGCTCCCCGGCCAGAGGGCTGACTGTCTCATGACTGGAGCAGGCCTGATGCAGGCAGACAGGTCCTTGAAGAGCACCTGGAACCACAGCCTCATGGTGGGGGATGGGATCTTTTGAGTAAGCTGCCTTGTGCAGTGCTGTCTCTTGCCTCCTATACTCACCTGCCTGGAACACACATTACCACCACCCGTAGCCCTGCCGAGGTCTCACTGACGCGGTTTCTGCCCAGCTTAGCAAAAGCAGAGTCTCCATAAAGATCTGGTAATGAAACACTCAGTCGCAGGGGATTAGTCTGCAGTAACAGACTCCACCTTGCAAAGGAGACCCTGCCACAGTGCAGAGCCTACCTCCTTCCACCTCATCCCCAGGTGTGCCCACCCCCAAACCTGCCGGACAGGCCAGTTGCTCCCTGCTGCCACCTTGTGGCACAGTACTGTTCCCAATCAAACCATCAAACCGCGATTAAACTGATCGTTTGAGTGTTTCTTAAAGTCGTTTTGGACTACCTTAATCAGTCACCTGGGGTGTTTATTTTAAATTCAGACTCCCCAAAGAACTGTGGTTTAGGAGAATGGCAGAGATGGGGCGCAGCAATTTGTTTTGTAAGAAGCTCCTCTTACATTTCCTCCTGGGGAAGGTGGTGCTGCACTGAGCACTTACACGTTGCTTCCTCACACCAAGCCAGTAAAGCAATGACCACTGTCCTGAATGTGTGAAAGAGGACTCTAAGGTCAGGTCCTAGGTCACACAAGTAGATCTGCAGTAAATCGAGAGAGCCGCCAATCAGCTTCACTGATCACGTACAACTGTGTTCATTTCACACGTCAGAGAACACTTTCACATCCATTGCTTTTGGGTCTCCTTCCTCAACCTATGAGGTCCTTCATAACCACCCCTGTATTACCAGCAAGGACACCAAAGAGCAGAGGGCTTGTGTGCGGCTCCATTTCCCACACATCCTTGAAGCCTCTGATTCCACTGCCTTATTCCACATTTTCTGTTTCAGACCCCAGGAAGTCTTTGGCCCAGCTCACCTACTTGCACCGGGATGATGCACATATTGATTCAAATCTGTGCTGACACTTATTCCACAGTCTGAGTCAGGGGCTGGGCCAAGAGTTGTGATAGCTATTTACTCGGACATTAATGGGCATCTATAAGGTGCCCTGCAGAGGGCCAGATACTAAGATTATGAGGTATGAGTCAGACATGGCCTCAAGGAGGAAGGAGAGACCTAAGAACGGACAGTGACACCAGAACTGTCAAAAAGGTACAAAGCAGGAGCCATGAAATGGACTCTACAAGAATCAAATCCACGATCCAGGTGTCCAGTTGGCTTGCACAGGACTGGGGCCTGGACCCGTGTCAGAGGCTAAGGCTGCTCTGAGGACCAGCCACGCCTCCCTCTGCTCTGTGCTCTGTGCCTCTCTCCCTATCAGCCTGCCTCCTGTCTCTCCTTTGTACCCTCCCTCCTATTACGTAGTTTCTACTTTCTCGTAGCTCCTGCATCCTCCTCCATCACCATGATCTGGACCCCAAGTCAACCTCTTGGCTGCTCTCTGCAGATACAGTCGGTCCAGCCTCCACTGCCATTGCTGCCTGCTTAATGCTATGTGGCAGGGGGTGCAGGCACATACAGGTCATGGGGTTGGTTTAAGACTGTCCCATTTACCAAGAGTATGGCCACATGTCCAGAGCTTTCCACCACTTACCAACCCAGCCTGCTTCCTACATATCAGTTCCTATAACCCTGTCAAGATCCCATTCTCACTGCTTCTGAAAGTGACTGTACCTTCCCAGCAGGACTGAATCATGATGCTTCCCAAAGTGATGAAGCCTTGGAAAAACTCTCAACCAGAGAGTCCAGTGTCCTCGGGTTTACAGTTTCCTCCAGGGGGACTTTCCATCCACTCTCCAAACTATGGACTAAATCCTCAACTAAATAACATCACTGTATCACATGTAAGCCGTTAGTTACACACACACACACACACACACACACACACACACACCAACATCATACAAAAACAATGTGGCACAATCATGTTTGGATCAATAACCTGCACGTAGCACAGTAGTTTGGGGTGGAAGGAAAGAAAGTAGAAATCCTGTCCCTTGATCCCCAAACCTATGTGTTATACCGCTTGGGTTGTTGACCCCAGATATATGTCACATTCTACAGGAGAGCACTTTGCCACGAGTCCTGGGCCGGGGCTGGACCTCGTGAGTGGGCATCTTGCTCCACCCGGTGAGTCCCACGAGCATCTGTTGCAGAGTCAGCAGCAGAAAACCATTCCCTGGCAGAGTCTCCATAAG